ACATTTTAACCCCCCCCCCCGCCCCCCACGTGTGCATTAGCGCATCACTTACTTGTGGCAGGAAGAATGCCTTTCACAGCGACTCAGAGGAATACGGATGACACAGCTTGAAAAGGCGACATACAGGCTGTGTGCGTCTTTGTCCACGTGCAGCGAGAGGACACGCTTGTCATCCTCGCGGTTAGACAGGCACCTGGGAAGGGAAGCAAGAAACCCGATCAGAGGTCTATCAGATAAGTCTGTCTACTGTTTCAGTCTCAGTAGATTTAATCACTTGTTAGGTGGAGAAGTCACATAAAGCTTTTTCTCACAATTTAACAGGAGTTTAACCTCTGACACACGTGCATGTTCACATCCACAAATAAGCACACACATACAGTGCAAGAACAGAAAGCAGACAGGCAGACAGACAGACACTGCCATCTGTGCCAGGAAGCCTCATTTTAAGAGTTGCTGACTTCTCGGCCAGAAGACAGAAGGGGAAGAGAAAAAGAGAACAGAAGCAGACAGAGAGAGGTTGAAAACTGTGTGCATCCTTACTTTGCCTTGTTGAAGACATCTATCTCCTCCAAAAGCAGGCTGTCATTCAGGGCCACAGAGGAGGTCTTGGCCAAAACCTTCAGGACAACCCCCGACTCAGCCCCGATAAACACCACTGTGTAGTTCTTGTGAGGTCCCGCTTCATTGTCCACAGCCAGCGCTGTCAGTCTGTACCTTCACACACAGCAGAGAGAGCATGTGTTACTCACAGTAGGGGTTATCCCTTTCAAAATAGGGGAGGCCATTTTGAATACATGAATCATTTCAAGTTGAGTTACTAAAGGTCAATTTTTTTATTTTCACTTCATTGCATGTTCTATTAAGAGACATGTCAATATTGATCTCTCCACATGTGACACACTGTTAACTGGGTATTGGACCTCAATATAATATTACTGACCTTAATGTGTCTGTAGCACTAATAATTGAAAGTTTGTATCAAATCCTTGGTCAGACTCACTTGTTGATTTTACAGTATTGTATTAAGGCATGTCCTTGGACAGCTTCTTGTGATAAGACAGCATTAAACACTGATGCAATTAGAGAAAATTAACATATTTGATTAAACATGTCTTAAAGATATCAGTACTGTAACTGAGGTATTGCATTGGCCCATACTCATTCCTAATGTGCTTCTGCGTTTACCTGACGCGAGTCTTTGTGAACCAAGGCTCATCCCCAATAGAAGGCACAGCTGTGTCCATGAGGGGGTGAGACTTGATGAACTGCAGGGTATCGTCTGGGAACTCGATGGAGCTCTTAAAGGATGCAGCTGGACCATGACCTGCACAGCACCCGGGTCTAGAATGGAGGGTGCACATGCATATAGGGCAAAAGGTCAAAGATCAGCCCATATGATCGCACACAAGGGAGTAATAATAGCGTGTATTGAAATTGATGAAAAGTGCAACAAGAGGATGGGGGTGAGGAGCAGGTGCTTATTAGGTTCACAAAAAGGCCTCAGCTGGAAACATAAAATATACATATGCATGGTTATCCTCCATCAATGATTTACTGGGGTAATGAGGTTCTCTATGGACTTTGTGTTTTGGACAGAGGGCAGGGCTACAAATGTACGTGCTGACTGTAAACAGGTTAAATATGCAACGCATCTAATTATGACAAATTAATTATTTAATCATCAGCAGATGGTGAATGTGTGTGCTGGGTCAAAGCTAATAACATGGTCCCTTACTAGTGAGAACAATTTGATTTCATTGGGTTTAACCTGGAGAAAGAAGGGTTAAGAAAAGGGGGAAAATGACAGGTGGTAGACACCTGCTGAGTCAAGTGCCACCTGCTCAAAGAAAAGCCATGTATGTTTAGGATCCATACCGAGGTTTGGGTAACTTCTCCTCTGGGAATGGAGTCCACACAGAGTCAGGAGTCTTCTGCTCTTTGAACCGGCCCCAGAATACTTTCTCTATGTCGGCCATGGAGAAGGCACACACTGCTGAACCTGGGATACTGTGGAGCAATAAATACATCAATGTAACAACCACGTTTGACTTCTAAATATCTTATTATTGTCCAATGTTTAATTCAACAACTAACAGCAGGCAACAGCTCACCTGTTCATCTGTGTGGTGAACACACCCACTACAGAAGGAACTCCATTGATATTGATGATGTCAGTGATCGACTGAAGCACATCGAAGTAGAAGAAGGACTCCCCTGGCACGGAGCAATTCAGCCTCGCCTTCACAAAAGACGTCCAGTGCTTCTCCAGCACCCGCTGTGACCCACCGACGTCATTCTTACAGATCCGGGCCACGCGAGAATACACAACCTGCGGGGCGCAGGGGTTTAACAGAGGACAGAGGCGGGTGGAAGAGGAAAGCAGATAAGTGAACGTCACTAAAAACACTTCAACATGCTGAATAATGCATCTCTCCATCCTGTAGCAACTCGCCACAGACGACTTAACAAACACACACATCTTTAACTTTGTGTGTGGAGGTTGTTCACCCTGACTGGTTCAAACATTTTTAAAAAAGGAATATAGCCTGATGCAGCTCCATGTGAATGTGTGTTTGATTGCACATATTAAGGCTTATAAATGAAGTGTGTGTGAAGCAGTTGGCTTCGTTAATAATTTACCAGGGCAAACCTCCATCAGAGGCCAGGTGTCACCCAAGCATTAGTAGGGTTGAAATATTTATTGGTTGGTGGCTGATGGAGGATGCTGGCTTCCTGCGGCTCGGCCAGACCAGCTCAGGATGAGACGAGGCATGTTCAAAGCTGAAGTTGGCCTCAAACACCGAACATCCTAATGCCCTCTGCATGTGTGTGTGTGTCATAGGGAGAGGCAGACGCAGAGCGTGCAGTCTCCGGAAGAGACAAATCCTCTCAATGTGTAATGGTTTTACATTAGTAGAACATTCCCAGCAAACACTGGCTGTTGAAATTTCTCGTGTATTGTAATGCGATGTACTGTCATCGCCTGAATGGACCCCATTACCACTGGGGCCATTTGTAGCAGAAACACATGCACTGAGGGAGGTGTAAGCCTTTTTTGGATAAAGGCCTGCATACTGTATCTGTGTGGAATATGTAATGCATTATAAACGGCAGGTGCACTGTCTTACCTTGCCCAGATTGCTGTGCTCCACTGCAATCTCTCGGTAGAAAAAGTACACATAATTCCCATACTCTGCTGCGTGCAGGAAATGAGGTTCTGAGGAAGAGACAGAGGCAGAGAGTTGAAGTATATTTCTGCACCGTCACCACCACTGTGCATGTTGAATATTTCAGGGATTTGTACAAGGCTGTATATGACTGGGGGTGACCTAGATTGCCTGGGAGAGAACAGGCCATATCCCCATGGAGCTTGGCAACACAGGAGAGCTCTGTATCACTCCAAAAACAGCCCTGACAGCCACGTACATGCATACGCCATGCAAAGGCACCATGGGCATTTAGCTAGCTGGCAGGTAGACACGTATATCTCCAGGAAGGCAAGGGAAGAGATAAATAAAGATCGGGAGTGACGAAGAGGCATTTGTGTACCTTTCAGCCATTTGGAGTCATATTTGATGGTCCTCAAAGCTGATCCATCACCCATACTACGATAGATGACAGAATCACTGGCCTGGAAGTCCGCTACAGTTGCAGAATACAGCTTCCCTTCTAAAAAAACAAAGCAACAAGGATTACAGTCACCAAAAACTAGGATACAGTGCTCTACAATGCTTTGTTGTTTCTCTTCATTTATAAGGCTTAATTGGCTGAGTTGTTATCACTGCAGGCAGTTTTACTGTGGCAAAGACACAGAGGTGATAATGAGAGCATAAGTAGGAACACATTAGTTCTTCTTCAGGAAGACTAAGTATGTGTGTGGGCGGGTGTGTGTTTGACCCTTACCAGCAAAAAGGGCAACGTTGGTTTGCTTGGAGTCAAATGGGCATCGTGCCAGTCCATTGATCTCCTCGCCATCAAACTCTAGGTTATCCAGCTGAAGGGAACAATCACCCACACATTAAAAGGAGTTTTGTCAAGAGACACGGTGAAAGAGAACACACATAGAAACACTATACACACACATAAATCAATCAAAGGGGTCTAGTCAAATTTAGCGAGAAAAAAAAATTAAACAAAGGGTGTGTTACTCAAACTGCTTTAAGAACATTTACAAAATACTAGTCCAGATTTTGTGTGTGTGTGTATGACTTTGTGCACGTCTGAGCATGCTTTGACTCATGGCAGGCCCTGGCACTGGATACTGACCCTGTAGTATCTGCACATGGGGTTGAAGCCATTGGTACCACAGATGAACACCAGGTCATCGTTTCTGGGAACAAGCACTTTGATGAAGTTGTGGCACTCGTCCTGAAAACAGACAAACAACATGGAACGGCATTTTGAGAGGGGGCCAGCTATTCGGCTCACAGTCCCTGTCCATGTGGTGGGATATAGAACAAAAGGTGCAAGGTGAACGATTTTTAATACGTACTCTGTGTTTTCCTTTCACGGCACACATCTCTCTGTCAGCTTGGCCTGATCGCCATGTAAGCTTCTGTAAAATCCAACATGGAGCATTAGACACATGCACGGCACACTAAATACACACATACGCTCATACACACTGACTCATGCAAGCGCACACACAGTCCTCCCTTTTCCACTCTCTCATTTTACAGCCTGTCCAGTTTGTGATGAATGGCTCTGTATTTTCTATGGAGCCCCTTTTAGTGTTTGTGGATTGAGAGAGCAGCTTGTGGCGAGAATCTTACCCGGTAAGGAATGATCTCATTCCTGTAGGATTCTCTCAGACTGACTAGGTACACCTGATCTCTGTGGACAGACAACAAAACACACAGCTCAGTGACATAGCACAACCAGGAATACGTTTCTATAAAATATAGGGCTCATCATTTTAAATGTTTCTGTTTTAAAAATAAAAATCCAGTAGCTTTATCATTTACCTATATTTTTATATTAATAAAAGGGTAAAATTTTGTTTTTTAAGAATTTTGGTTAATTAAAAAAAAAATTCAACACATCCACATTACACATTTACATTCTTAGAGGAACTCTGGTGCATAATCAGCAGCTCATTTGCATGGTTTCCCCAACTGTTCAATATATTTGCCATTATGAGAATATTTCTTGAACTGTACTTGTTATTAGAAGACCTCATTTATTGCAAAGTATGATTTCAGTATCTTCTTGCACACAGCTTTTTGGTTCATGGAAAATACAATTGGAGGGAAATGGGTTTAAACCAATCTTCTCCTTTTTTGAGTATTTTTCTGTCAAACCTTGTATAAACTGAAAGTGATAAGACTGAAATATAGCTCATTCAAATTTATGTATTATGTGAACAACAAACAGGGTGTTGTAGAGTAAATGCATAGTGAATTCTGCTTTATGCATCTGGCTGCTACATGAAACCCTGAGTATCCTCTCTGCTGTACCATTTTACTTGACAACCACTTATTGTTTTGATTATATGCCGGTTATTAAAAAAAATGTAATAAAACTAGTGGGGATAAACTTTATTAGCCCATGGAGAATAACATTTTGCTTTACTTTTAGTAAAAACATGTGAATACCCCAAACTGACAACAGGAGGATCCACCTGCCAACAGTGATACATGTGGTGGTGATTACAGGGGCTCCAGAGGTGGGAGTTTTATACTGTAGATGTCGGGGTGATTTCGTGCTACAATATTAGTGCTGGCGGTCAGATTAATCCCAGTGCCCATAAATACCAAAAAGACATGTAAAGATGCCAAGAAATCCCTGACAGAGCATCAGGCCACATGATAGACGCCTCTCTTGGATCAATACTGGCCATATACATCAGATGCAGGCCTAGAAGCCACAGATCCAATAACACTAAGAGCTTTTTTTCCCCCCTCACGCCACTGTTTACCTGCCAAGGAGTGACTGAGTATATTGGTGTGGGGGATGTGTGAAAGAGAAAGAGAGAGGGAGATAGAGATAGTGTGTGAGTGTGAGAGTCTACCTGCCAGCGATGAACAGTGTGTCCTGTATCTTGGTCATCAGCTGAAAGTCAAGGCGATGCTGTGACTCGTTGCCAGAGGGCCTGCCTCTGAACACAGGGTACCTCCGTGAAACTGTGAAGACATAACACACGCACACATACTATTAATGGGGAAAGCAGACACTCTTGCACGGATAAACCACACTCACTTCTTGCTACATTTAATGTGACTGCGCTGATTAGAAATAAATATGCTCTGTGTGTGCTTTATACAAATCCTGCAATTAAGGTAATGGTACAGTACAAATACCTACTGTATATTCTGTATAATTATATCTGTGTGTCATTGTGTTGTGTTTGTGCGTTAGATAATGGCTGCCTATGTCAGCACATCTCTGTTCCTCCAGTACATCACAGAGATGAAAATGAAATCCACTTAATGCTACAGCTGACCATACAGCAGATTGATTTTATTACTATGGGTATGGCATGCTAGTGTGTGAACTGCTGACACGACTAGACTAGAAGAAAGGCTGCCGGTATTTCTCTTTATTCCATGTAAAGTAGAGTAAAAAGTGTATATTAAAGCTGTTGACGTTTTCAGTCACGTTGCAGTTATTGTAATGTCTAACCCCTCTGCTGAGTTCATTTGCGTGCGTGTACTCACAGTGTGCGTCAACAATATCGAGGGGTACGGTGTCCTCGGGGAAGCTGACTGCGAGGAGAGTGCGTGAGGCTGTCAGCAGCAGCAGCAGCTCACTGAGCAGAAGCGCAGCTCTCTGGCCCATGGCTGCTCACAGACGACACTTCCTGTTTCACACTAGTGGAGATGTTACCTGGAAACACACAAAAAGCATGCTTTTGTTGCTCGACATGTAATATGTTGTGTTGTTTAACCCACTGCTACAAACTGTAGTCAAATCCCACCCCTACCGTACTCTCAAAACAATGTTTTTTTTTTCTGCTATAAAGTTTTTCTCTTTTTGTCGATACCCACAATGTAAGTAAAATACAAACATAAGGCGCGCATAATGCCCTCTCTGGCTTATTGATGACTGAGCTCTCAGTAGCAGTGCTTGGCATTTCCCCTCTACCTCTCTCTGCATCTGCTGTCTAAGGGAAGGTCAGCCAACTGAATGGTGGGGTGTCTCGGTGTGTGTTGGATGCAGCGGAAGTCCACTCTGTTAGAAACATGGCGGGCCTGCTGTCTCTGTACATCTGTGTTCTGATTGGTTTGTCCTGGGCCAGACTCAACACTAATCAGCACATTGCAACTTCATCACCATCACTAGTGTAGCCTCTGCTCTGACCTTAGCTGACTTTTATTAGCGCTCTGTTGGCTGTTATTGCTCCAGCCCTTCCTTAGGGCTGATGCGCTTTATTGCAGTGCAGTGATTCACTCATCTTTGTGTCTACATCTACTCGTGTACAATTGTTTTGACATAGTGGTAATTTTTGTGTACAATAGTTTGTACAGCATCTGATTGTAGACATGATACACCAGCAACTACACTGGTAATAATTTATTGTGGGAGTGGCAGGGGTTTAGTGTGCATGTTAGTGCGTGGAGGAGTGCTTTAGAGACAGACTGTGTCTGTGCATATTAATGATCAGTGTACATTCAAATATTTATAAGGCAAACAAATTATTCATGCAGGCAAAGCCTGAACGGATATAAACAATTTACCGGGAGACGTCACACAGGCAGAGGGATGGATTAGTTGGGAGCACACTGGGGTAGACACACACACCAACACACACACACGGTTGCACATACATAATCACGCTTACTAATGGTTTAATGCAAAGACTGACGCATGTGCACACACACGGACACACACACAGACACACGCACAGTATTGACTCATTTTTCAATTAGCCCCAAAGCACACCTGCTCCAGTGCTGTCTGTGAGCCCCGCCTGCCAAGCCATTAGTGCTCTGATTGATCCACAGAGGAAGCATGGCTGATCAGCAGCCAGCAAAGGAAATCTATGGACTTCAACATATCACTGTAGCCATGTGAGAACTTTGTAACTCACAGACTGGTGACTTTTAGAAGAACCTTTGGCTTTTTAAATATTTTAAAACACTAAATTAACTATGATGAACATGGTTATCAAGTAAATAAACTATAACACGCCACATCTTCAAGTTGAAAATTAGACAGCATGAGGCGTTGACAGCACCAATATATAACAGCCTATTGGCCTTTGATCAGTGCATGTGGATTACATAACACACAAATTGGTTGCCTTGGTTTAAAGCTTACATGTTGATATAAAGCACACAGTGTGTTTTTCCAGTCACTAATAATGAAATTTTGGTCTGCAGTTACTATATGATTGCTTATGCCACTAAAAAGAATAGAAGTGGTGGAGATGGAATGCCAGCGTGTTTTAGTCATCAACAGTGTGTAATCATGGCTATTTGATACTCTGTGGGATACTGAGGCCTTTTAAAAGAGCAATGTCATCATGACTGAGTAATGCAAGGGCTGGACATGACCAATTAGTCCACTTAATAGTTAAATTGTCCAAAATGTAGCTTTCTCTTCCTATAACTACAAACATCAATGATGCTGGACAGTCACTTTAATCTAGATACAAATGAATCCACAAACGATCCACAGATCTATGCACACAGGCTTACGGATCTATACAAAAGAACGACTGTCAGCAACTTAATCTAAACAAGAAGTGATGATACTGCTCAGCAAGGAGAGATAGCGCTGTTCCTTAAAAACACTGCAGCTATTTTTTACTACCTGTTTCAGAGGCGATGTATTAAAACCCAAGCAATAAATTGCTGAGTTTCTAGGAAACCTGGGACAGGAATAGATACCAAACACACAAAAACAGAAAAAAGAAGAGCTATGAAAGGTAAATAAGCCAAGCTCCACATTTCAGTTCTATAGTGCTATCATACAGGCTGCAGGTTGTGCTCCAATAGCCCAAACTTGGCTGTGTGCACAGGTAAATCATTTCCTCGGCTGTTAGAATTTAGAGTTCTGCTCTATATCGCTTCTTCGTAAGCATGCACATACTTTCTTCCTGCCATTCTCTCTCGCTAAACAATTCAGGAGAAAGCACTCCAACCAGAGACAGAAACTCAGCTCCGATCTCCCATGACTCCTTGCATGGTAATAGCTGTACTGCGGAGTCGAAGGCTTTCCTCAGAAACTTTAATGTAAAACAGAAACAGAAGACATCCAGAGGTCAGCGATCTAAAATTACTTCTACAATCTCTAGTGAGCCCAGCATGTTTTCTATTGACTATTTCTTTGCACTCTCTGGTTCCTGCCCTCCAGTGTGTGTGTGTGTGTGTGTAGTTGTGTGCATGCACATATAGGCCTCAACAAGCCTAGAGACGCTGGGCTTGTCACGCAACTCAGTGCCATTCAGCCTTGCCTCACTCTACCTCTGTTATTACAGGCTTTTCAATGTCCTACAACCACGCACTTTCCCTGCTGATGTTATTGGCTCAGGCCCATGGTGTTAAACACAGGCAGGGGGAGGGGGTCTGCTGGACTGCTTTTTCTACTGGTGGTGGGTGTTGGGGTCTGTAGCCCAGTTCTGGTAGTTACAGCTAAAGATTTAGTGGTCCAAGCTTCAAATGACAGATTAACACATGTTATCCTTTTAGCTGTGCTTTTGCTGGCATATGTCAGCCCATGACCTCGTCAACTGCAACACTGGATGGATGTGTTTTTGGAAGTCCTACTGGGATGGAATTGGGGCTAATAAAAGGATAGCAAACAACAGTGGTGCGTGAGTTTTCGAAAGTTGTGAGTGAATGTGATGGCTGGATGTAATCCCAGTAGAACAATGGCTGCTGCTGCTAGAGGCTGCTTGCCTTGTCATCTTGCACCATACTGAGCTGTAAACCAAACAGCACAGGAAATCAGATAGCCCAGGAGTTTAGTTTCAGGCATTTCACACCGCACACTTAGCGTATGTATGTCTAAATGTGTGTGTAAGCATGCGTGACAGTCCAAAACTGGATACGTTCTATAACACGGTTGTCTCAACTCTCAACTATGGCTCTGAGAAAGTAATCAAGATGCAGCCACACAGGAAAGCAGAGTCAGCCGGATGATTAGAGCAGTCACACAGGCCCAGAAATGATTACTACTACTTTTCCCACTTCAGTAATAACCACTACCCCTAATCGCATGCTGTTTACCCAAGGATAACTTCTGAGGGGCTTGGTTGGACTTGTTGCTTCAGAGATTTGGCAGAAGGAGAGGGCTGTGCCACCCTAAACCGAGCTTCCCTCCCTTTCTTCTCTACCTTGGCGAGAGGAGGAGTGAAACAGGAGAAAGGCTGTTCTCAGCAGTAGTTCTACTATAGTAGAGCACAAAGGAGCTGAGCTGCAGGTGTGACCAAGAAAAACAAAAGGGGCTTTGGGCAAGTCAACACAATAGAGCCCCACCCCCGGTCAGTGGATCCAGGTTTAGGAGAGCTGTTCTGTGGGCTCCTAAAAAGGGGTTCTGAGGGAACAAAGCAAACTACATAAACATATTGACTCCAAATGCTGCACACAGGGTCAAACTTTTAACACTCAACCAATTTAGTATGGAACAGTCTGATTTCCGAGCAGCAGTTTGGGGCAACCATAAGGCTGTATGGTTTAATGGCGGTTGTTCCGGGGTTATGGCCGGCTGTAGAGGAGGTTAACGGTGATCGTTCTGGTCGCTGAGTTCTGACCCCGTGACCAGTGAGGCACATCAGCCAGCTGTGCTGTCAAAGGAACCCACGGCTAGTTCTGATGTTTGACCTGGCCATAGTGCAGTCAGTCCTGCCAATATCAAGTTTGTAGTTTCAGTAACTGAGCTGGGTTCTCCTGTCTCTCTGACAGAGCTCAGACACTCATCATCTGGTTTATGTTTATAAAGAAATTCTGTGAAAATGTCTTTATTTCTGTAAAGGGACTGCACTGGTTTAAGCATAGCACCCTTAAATGTACTAAAATGAAATCTTAGTGGATACTTTTTGTCCCTTTTTTAATTTAATTTTGCCATTTTTTGTATTTATTTAGCAGAGCATGTTGGTCCATTATGTCAAGTTTAGAACAAACCTTTGATCATGTTTTCCCATCTCCTTCTGCTCCTTTCTTCATTTAGCCATTTTTTTTCTTAAATAATAAGACATGATAGAACAATTCCTAAAACTACTCAAACCTACTCACACTTCCATGCCTCCTTGTGACAGGGAAGCATTCAGATTTTCACCCTTTATTCTTCTTCTGTCGCTCTTCCTTCATTTGCTGGTCATTTTTCAAGTTTTGCGTGGGGATCTTCCGCTCCTCTTTTGCGCACACAATCCATGCAGCAGCCCGGGCTCTAATGCTTGCATTGTGCGGACTGGGGCGTAAAGGCATTCAAGTTTTATCCGTGGTAAATCTTTTCAGAACCCCTTTAGCCCACATGTAGGACTCATACAAAAGACAACAAAGACGCGGGGGACAGCGGTGGAGTGACAGCAGTGATGGGGCTGCGTTTAACTGCCTCCACAGCACCTAATATAATGCATGCACGGGGCTGGGCTCTCGCGTTGCACTGCCTCCAAAAAGGTTACGAGCGCTTCTCCAATTTATTATCCAATATAAGAATACCGTAATGAAATTGGGAATACATGAAATCGATTAATGGCATCAGAGAGTGAGCAGTCAACAATCTTTAAGTCAAACTGCGCGTCCTGCTCGCCTTGTATTGTTTAACACAGTGTTTGCCAGCATTGTCCGTCCAATCATGTGCAGGTTGCCTTCAATCCAAGTTTGATTTTTGTGAAGTCGAAATGTCAGAAAACACTTAAATCCACGCCTTAAACCATTTAACACAACTCCGAACACTGCACAATAGAATATATTAGCTATTGTGGCTGGAACTGTAGCAAAGGAAGGACACTTCTCTGCATGAAAGCTCTGTTAAAACCAACAGTAGCTGGCGTGGCTCTGATTTTTGCTGTGGGTCAGTCTTAATCTATGTGTATGTCTCTGTTTAAAAAAATTATATTTTACTTTGAATTTAGTACTTGATTCTCTTGTATAGATTATGTTCACAAAGTAGCTCCCGGATAGAACAGAAGCCAATAGTACTATGTCCTTAATTAAATCCAAGGTCCGGTTTAATAATACAACACAGAGAGTATCTTAAAAATAGGAAAAATACACTTCACATCAATAATTAAAAATCACGGTGGACACCTACCTTGAGAATCCGAATTCACGCAATTGGGCAATCCCACTGAATATCATATTCCTTAGGTAATCCATTTAAGAGAAAACACCCAGTATGTAATATTCCTGTTATTTTTTTTTAGCTCCATCCGGACGCCACTTTTTTTTTTTTTATCCAGTTGCGCTGAGATTTCAGCTCCGCTCGCCACATATGAGCATTTTGACTGCCTGCTCTGTCTCCGTCCCCGGGCCCCTGAGCTCTGATGACTGATCTTCAAAGCTCTGCCACGACCACACAGCCCCCTCCCTCATACAGCAATACACCAGCCCCTTCCACTACTATTAACTTTAGAAACCAGAGGGAAAAGACATTTAAACAGTAACGACGCGCTATCCTTACTACGCCGCGCACTGACTTAATGTTCAATCTTTGATTTAATGCTTTAATTTAATTTAAAATAACAGAGTGGACTGACGGGGAGCATGATATGGCACATATCCACCAGAATTAAACAAAAATAAAATAATAATATACACTAAACTCTTTCCTGTGCTTGTTTATCCCAACAGAGAATGCGCTCAAATAACTTTGGATTCATCCTTTGGATACATGGTTCAATGGTGCGGCTGCATAACTCACTATAATAAAGGTTTCTGACAGCTACAATAGAAGTGTAAACTGTCTCACAAAGAAAGAGGTGAGTAAACAGTTTAGATCTGATTTAGCCTCTGTTACACCGCTTTACGAGCGCTGAAAAGACGCTTCCGAGCAGGACGGGCGGATAAATGCTGCCAGCGGTAAAATGAATGAATGGTCAGTATATTGGATTGAAGCATAAGTAAAAATAGTCCGGACCTGAACTATTTCTGTCCTGCAACCATCAGTTTTTGCAGAGCAGCATAGCGACGTGGTCAGAAGAAATATTTTGTATCCCAGCAAAGACTTCTCCTCTCTAGTTTTCCCCTTGACTTTCACTGCGTAATGCGGCGCAACAAAGTATATCCACGTAGCGGCAAGGAACTCACCTCATCTGAATTACTTGTTTTATATCCTTTTGTGTTGCTGTAATCCCCCAAAAAATATTGTGCGCGTCGTAGTGAATCAACTTCTCCTGGCTGGGAGAAAAACAAAGTAATGCACGGCAAATGGTGTAATTCGACCCGTGCTAAGTCAATCCATCCAGAGAGAGAGATCCACAGCCTACCAATAAGCAGCGCTCTTGCTCCAGTCCCTCCCCCACCATCCGTCTCTCCTCGGTTGGTTTGGGCTTCTCTGCCTTGCTCTGGCTTCCTTCCTTTCTTTCCTAGAGCCCGGAGAGAAAGAAAAAAGCGACCCCCTCCCTCCCAGTTCTCCTCCTGTGTGACCCCGTATTGCCCCCCCCCTTCTGTTAAACCCCATCCCCCAACTCCAAGTCAGCTGCAAGAGCGCCTAGTTAAAATCATTTCAGCTGAGTAAAACACAGCTTTAGAAATGTTTGGATTTAAGAGAGAGATGATAGAGGAAGAAATCTTCTACTGGGATTGTGCAGCTGATTTCTATTAGAAGTGCAGAAATGATTAATGACAACAATACAAATGTGCAGAGAAAAGCTTTTACATTTATGTGGAATAACTCTGCAAACTCATCCATATTACACATATTCTACCAATATTGTTGTTCCAGTATGACTTTTAATATGGAAATACCACACAGTTTTCAGGTAAAGCAAATAACAGCAAACATTATTTTATGCTGTAAACACAATAAATCTTGGTCCTGGTTTTGTTTGAAGTAGATCTATAGATAGGCCTTAGGCATTCTACGTGTGTGTAAACATCATTGTGAGGACGTGTTCCCGTATGCATGCGAAGATGAAGTCGTCATTGAACGTGTCGGGTCATTCCAGCCAGGTTTGCAAGGCCTGACAATGGAGGCCCATTTGCACCCCATTACAGAAGCAGGTTAGCAGATGTGTGAGAATCTCTCCCACATGAACATCCTCACCCACTCACACACACACACACTCCTGACAGCCTCCATTATGAGCTGAGAAAGTAGGATCTGCATCTCAATACTTGCACAGGAAACACTAGTTTGCACTGCTGATCTGCCTGATCCCGGTTTGGCTGTTCTCGCACGTCGTTGTCCCTGCTTGTCCCTCACTTGTCCTCTTCCTCTTTTTTTTTTTTGAGTTTCCACTTCGCTATATCCAGTCTCTTCATTTGACAGAACCTCTCTTTTTCCTCAGGCCCCCTATAGTTCTAAAAATTTCTACAATCTCACCAGGGTTGTCTCAGCTGATAGAGTTTAGTTTGTCATTTATGTGGCTTTCATTCCCTTTCTTCTGGCCTCTCACGCTTCAATCTTGCCAGTCAATGTTTCTGTCAGTCCTGCGTTACTTCTGTGTGATGTCCCTGTATCCCGTGGGGACTGAATCAGCACGAGCATCTATTATGGTGGGAGAGGGGGAGGATGGATAGATCAATGTGTCGAAGGTTTGCGCAGACGCAGGTACTGAGTGTCAGGATGGGTGAATACATGTATGGATCTATGGGTGTCTGGTGATTGGTGGGTGTATTGATTGGTCTTTTTTCCAGTGAATTGACAGTTTTATCATGGGTGTAATGGCAATGTGACACCATTTCAGTAGACTTTAATGGGTTTTGGTTTACTATTGTTGGCTTTGACAATTCTGAATCTGCTTGTAGTGTATTGTTTTGCAACCAACATCAATCGTGACTAACTCAATGATAGTTAAAGGATAATTGATGAGGAAGACAGCTTCCTAAAGACAATCAAAACTATTCAATTTTCTGATGTAATGATGATTATTAAATGGAGATAGTGAAGATGGAAAAACCAGAGGACAGAGTTAAACTGGATGAGGTTCAGGCAGAATTTTGATTACCCTGAGAAACATTAGCTTTTTCTCTTTCTTTTATTAAAATTTCTAATTTAAAACATAATTTTATTTTGGGACAAATCACATAATGAAGTAATACGATGATAAATAGAGATATATTTATGGCAGTAAAAGAAGCAGGCAGATGGGTGAATGACAAAAGTCTTTCAGACTGATAGTATGTTTGGATTGATAGCAAGGATGGACAGATGAATATATTGATGTTGGGAGATGTAGAGACGGATGGTGGGAGAGTAGAGTGATATAGGTGGGGGGTTGACAGAGGACAGAAGGCCTGTGCTACTCCAAAAGCCTGATATGCTCCCTTGGGGACCCCGCAGTGTGTAGGTCAACCCCAGGGGGTGTGTGAGGGTGGGCCTCGAGGTGCATAGAAGAATGTAAGGGCTTGGCCTTAGGTTGGTCCTACCAGAGAGTGCACTACCTTCCACTCCCTTATTTACTGCCTGTAATGCCAGTGCAGATGGTCATGTGTCAAGGCTGTAGGCTTAAAGATCCCCTCCAGACCACGTATCAAGACATATATACAAATAGTCTACTTTGTCTGATATGTTTTTTCAACAAAGAAGTCTAATTTCCAATTCAAATTCTTAAAATGGCATCTACTCCTGCTACCTCATAAAAAACATCCAGAATTGTTGCCTGGATAGCTCAGCTGATGCCCCATGTACAAAGTCTGAGTCCTTGCTGCAGCGGCCCTAGGTTTGAATCCAACCTGTGTCCCTTTGCTGCGTGTCAACCCCCTTCTCTGTCCCCCCTTTCATGTCAATCGTCAGCTGTCACTATCCATTAAAGGTAATACTAAGCCCCCAAAAATATATTTTGAAAAATAAATCCAGAATTTATGAATATGCAAATGTTGTTAATTTCTGTAGTTTATCTACTGGACACAGAATGTCTCCTACTTCCCTGTAATGTCCATTCTCAGTATATGTTAACTGATGTCTTCAGGTTTCTACATCACACATTGCATACTGGACCAATGGTCCAGTTTTCAGATTAGATGACATTAACTGCAGCAGTGGTGTGCTAACAAGCAGAAAAGGTTGTGTGCTTTGTGGCTTGGCACTGAGTGTTCTATCAGATGGCTGCCTCTCAGGGAGGGTGCAGTCTGGACTGAACCTCCATGGTGACCTCTGATTGATTAAGAGGCCATATCTGTCACTTGGCTGGCCTGGGGCACCATTTGTCACCTGACTGTGCAGTCCTGTTGAGAAGCTTTGTGTCCTCCAATCTACATTCAGACCTTTTCTCTAAATCCCCAACTCAGCTGTATCCACTAGGGCCACCCATGACAAAAATCTGTTCACTCACTCTGGTGCTCAGCCTTTTGGATTAGAGTAGGTACCAAATGGCATGTTAAAACATAACATGATATACTCGTTTTTTGTCAAGGAATCAGCATGTATATGCTATATCACTGGATTAGTATCACTGTTTTGACTGATGTACAGATTACCAAAAAGAACAAATATCAAATGTATTTATTTTTCTGCTGTGGTAGCATGTGATTGCATACGTTAGCCAGGCTACTTTGTGTTGTGAATTACAGGTAATTACAGGTTTGCCATCACCACAATTGAAGCAATAAAAAAGAGACAGCTAAGACTAGCCAGACCCCCTCCTTTGTATAATTATAATATAGGACTAACACAGCACTGAGTGTGCAAGAGCTGCTTGTGACTTAGCAGGTGTTGATATAATATGAATGAAAAGTAGTGTCCAGTGGCAATCAGTGCTACGGTTACATATCTATGCTAACTAGCCTAGTGTGAAAGCTAACACGATGGGTTCCAAATATTTAATGTTGTTAAGGGACAGGTGTCTTACATTGCTAATGGTACATACGTACTATGATGTGCTCCAGTCAGTAGTACACCACAGAAGCACAGTACTAGCAACTCTGGCAACTCAGGGGTCAGTCACCTGCTGGGAAACACCCACCCAAATATGTCCAAAAACATTATCCCCTTTTAGGAAAATGAAAAAAATATGCAGGACACCACTAGAATTATTCATAATCCTATTTCCTTATACATAAGTGAGCAGAATTAAAAACTCTGTTTGGCTTTCATTAAACACACATTATATTTCTTTGTGGATTTCCATAAGGCCCCATATAAAAATGCCTAACTTCACAGCAGAAATAGACATGTTTGTAGCCTGGTATAAAAAACGGTTTCGGTCTCTCTAGCTAGTAATTCCTGATTCATGCCAACTGTACAGGGGAGTGAATTTTACTGAAGTACAGATGACAATCTATGTGACATGACTCAGACAGGGTAATGTGTTGTGTGTAAAGTTTTATTCAAGTTGCATTTATTCACTTTTGTCGACTTCCTT